AAATATATTATCCTGTCTCTCCATGCTAAAGTTAACGTGGGAGGTGCAGTGGCCTCATGGTTAGTGCACTCGTTCCCGGATCAAGCAGTCTGGGTTCGAGCCCTGGCCGGGGACATTGTGTTGTGTTCTTGGGCAAGACACTTTACTCTCACAGTGTCTCTCTCCACCAAGGTGTATAAATGGGTACCGGTGAGCTTAATGCTGGGGGTAACCCTGCGATGGACTAGCATCCCATCCAGAGGGAGTAGAAATACTCCTAGTTGCTTCATGCTACAGAAACCAGGATAAGCTCCCGCCTGGTGGGCCACTTGGCTCGCATGCAGACTTTACGTTACCCTTCTTGCTAACACAGTTGAACCCTTATTAAGCGGCCACCTATTAAATGGTCAACTAAAATATGAGGCTAAAGGCTCTTTAAGGACGTTCTTGTTAATTGTTTCTGTGCTTCGTTACTGCGCATGCAAATTCACTCACCACTTCATGCATAAGAGTGTGTGCTAAGTAATAAAATGAACAATGATAGGGCAGATGGCCATTGCTATAGCTTTGCCTGGATTTAATGATCTTGGATGTGCGGTGACCCCTATTTTTGTTTTGATGGATCATTTTCTTTACCAATTTTCTATGTTTAGGGAAAAATGAAGAAAATCTATCGACTACAGTGTGTACATGTAGAAGTTTGAAATTTTTGCACAAAATGCTACATCGAATTCCGTTCATTTTGTTTCGTTTCCTCAGAAACAAAACAGTATTGTTTTCAGTTCAGGGGTGAACTATTTACATAGTGATTTGTAATATCCAATCAGAGTAAAGTTCGTAATTGTTAATGTAAATACGGTAGAAATTCGATCATCGCAACAAAATGTGGTGTTCCGAACAATTCAATTGCTGCTTTATTTGAAAATGGGGAATTACGACTGAAACTCTCATTTCTCATTATTAAAATACACAAGAAAACTACACACTGGACTTCTATTCGGATAGTAATAGTGAAAAGGAAGTTTATTTTGGAGGTAGAGAGACCGCCAGACCATGCGATTTGTCCACTAATGTGATATTTTAAGCCAATGGAAGCAGTTCGTTTTGTTTAGTTCAAAGAAGAAATGGTACTGTACTTAGTGATTTATGGACATATTGAGTATGGATGTTATCAGTCAGTAACCCTTGTAATTCACAAGGTAAACATGTTCAAGAAGAATAACTTCTCGAAACTAAATTTTATTTCATGACACGGAAAGAAAAGGAAATTAAAATGTCATGCAGGTGGAAATAATTGGCGACTCAAATGTTCCTAAGTCTTACTGAAACGATGTATTCTAGGGAAACGAATTTATCTGTTTCCGTGCTTGATTTAAATGTGATTAAGATCACAACTACAGCGACATAATTTTGGTAAATCAGAACACTTGTCAGGAATAACAATTCCGCCCCTTTTCAGTGGCTGTTTATGGGAAAAGAACATGCACTTGGAGCGTTTGGATGATACTACAGATACGATATATTGTGGAAAGTAACTAATTCATTACATTGTAATTTAATTAACGTCGGTATATTGCAAAATAGGCACAATATGGCTTTTTTATGAGGTGTTCTTCATATCGTAGGTGTCGGCATTTTCCAGACTTAGTTGAATTTCTCGAATTTTCTGCCACAATTCCAGTAACTTTACTTCTTAGAGCGTACTTTTAAAAATAAGAAAATTCATATTTTGACATACCGCAGCATTTCAAGAGCTGGTTTCCATGAAAACACCGATAGCATTTGTATTTTAGCTTCATAATATTCAAATGAAAGTGTGTCGTCACACATGAGGCGTCCTTTTTGAAAACAAAAATATACTGCGTCACTGACAACGAAACGCAGAGTGCCGCATCCATTCGAATCAAGGACTGCCTGGCACAGAAATGGAAAAATTATGCGTCAAATGCTTTTACCTCCTAGCTTTATTTGGCCTCACACACGATACTTTGAATTTCTGAAAAATTTGGCAGGGCTGTGAGGCCCGCTTCCCAAAGCACTTACCCTATTTAAGACCAAAGTCTGCGATTTTTCTAACCTATTTATGGCCTGACCCTTAGATTAATACCCTGTTTCAGACCTGCCGTAGTTCTCTAGGTCAGAATGATGTTAAAGGTATTGTGAATGGCTTTAGTTGCTGGTGTTATCGATAATGATGAAAAAAGTAGCTTCTTCTAAAAAACATACCTTAATAAAGACTAGAGTGCAAAAACCATACCCAGTTTGAGACCAAAATGACAAAAATCGATACTCTACTTCTGACTAAAATGTCTTAAAAAAACATGTCCCTCTGACACTGGACATACTTATGTAGCCGATATAAGGAGCATCCCCCTTCCCCTAGGCCAGAGTCAAAGTGAAGTATCACAAGTAAATACATTTTGAAGTGCATTGACTGTAATAACTGATACTTGTGTAGACAACTTAAATTAATTAGCCCTTGCTCTTTTACAATAGGTTAAATACTAAACCTCACCTGGACGAAAAAACCCCAGGCTCTGGTAACTGAGCAGATCAGTGCGGTGCAAAGCGGCACATTAGCACAAATCCCCCTCGCCCCAGGACTTCTTATGCACAAGCTATCAAAACCCTAGCCTTTCTCAGACTTTGAATATCTTTTTGGAAACGAAACAGTATTTCTTTCTTGTTAGCTCTTTGTTTATCTGTGTGACAGTTTCAAATGCTTCTTGAAGGGTTAAGTTTTGTAAAAACGTTGGTAAAATTTGGAATTATTTATGCAACANCGGCACATTAGCACATATCCCCCTCGCCCCAGGACTTCTCATGCACAAGCTATCAAAACCCCAGCCTTTCTCAGACTTTGAATATCTTTTTGGAAATGAAACACCATTTCTTTCTTGTTAGCTCTTTGTTTATCTGTGTGATGGTTTCAAATGCTTCTTGAAGGGTTAAGTTTTGTAAAAACGTTGGTAAAATTTGGAATTATTTATGCAACAGACCCACTTCTACAAAATATGACGAAGATTGTTTGCTTCCGTTGACTCGCCTTCGATATTGCTAACTATAAACCCCTGCAGACCATGCTGAATTACATGCGCCAATTTTTCAAACTCAGGATAGTTTTCCACATGCTTTATCTTAGAAATGAAGTTGGTGACCCCCAATTTTTTTGCATTTCTGACACAAGTAACTCATTATCTGATTGTGGTAAAAATTAAAAAAAAAAAATATCGACTGGAACATTTTTGCGTGAACGTCTTTAAAGTGTCAAACAGTAACTGGTTATTAAATGGTCACCCCTATTAGGTGATCAGTAATCAAAGTCCCAAAGTCCTGTTCGCACAATTCCTATTGGTCCTTTTCTTCTTTTAATTATATTGTAATTTTGTGACCAATAAAGTTGATAGACAATAGACAATGAGGGCTTCTCTATTGTGTTCACCTCTGTTAAGTGCCAATCCCCTTTAAGCAGCCACTATCCATTTCCCAGAGGGTAATAGGGGTTGAACTGTGGAGCTCTTTGNGTTTTGTAAAAACGTTGGTAAAATTTGGAATTATTTATGCAACAGACCCACTTCTACAAAATATGACGAAGATTGTTTGCTTCCGTTGACTCGCCTTCGATATTGCTAACTATAAACCCCCTGCAGACCATGCTGAATTACATCCGTCAATTTTTCAAACTCAGGATAGTTTTCCACATGCTTTATCTTAGAAATGAAGTTGGTGACCACCAATTTTTTGGCATTTCTGACACAAGTAACTCATTATCTGACTGTGGTAAAAATTAAAAAAAAAATATATCGACTGGAACATTTTTGCGTGAACGTCTTTTAAGTGTCAAACAGTAGCTGGTTATTAAATGGTCACCCCTATTAGGTGATCAGTAATCAAAGTCCCAATGAGGGCTTCTCTACTGTGTTCACCTCAATAAAGCGCCAATCCCCTTTAAGCAGCCACTATCCATTTCCCAGAGGGTAATAGGGGTTGAACTGTG